CTTCCGTGCCTGTTTGCCTGCAGAGGATTTCCTTTGGTGGGAAGGTGGAGGAGCAGTAGATGACTGCCTGCTCAGGGCTACTGGTAGCTCAGAGCCTTTGGTCCTTTCCTTCCGGAGCCCCTGCTGTTTCAGAGAAAGCATCAAGGCAGTCTTCTGCAGGTGTTATTTTTTGCAGAATTGCATTCAGGTGGCTCAAATGTAGTGCAGTATTGATTTTTTCTTTAACTTGAAATCTCTTAGGCTTTACAGTACATCATATAATTCAAAACCCATCTGCCTCACCTTTTTAGGATTGTAAGCCATGTGCCTAATCTCAGGTCCCAGGTGCTGGATTTTATGGTATTTTTGTTGGTTTATAGCAGACGTCTTCCATGCCAGACTCTAGTTTAGATTTGGAATGTGAATAAACTTTGCCTGCATTTTGCCAGATTTCCAGACAAAATATTCCTGTGTTTCTGAAAGAGCAGCTTCATGTTTTCCCCTCTACTGTGAAAAACGTTAGACATACTGAATTATTTCTTCGTAGTCATTTGTTTTCTTTTGTTGTTTTAATGTATTTTTTCTTTTTGTGAAATTATAAATAAATAACACATCTTTTTGCTTTTAAGGTTATCAACTGGCAAACTGCACTTCATATTCCACCTCAGGCTAAATTGACTCCAGAGGCCTCTGATCTTATTATTAAACTCTGCCGAGGCCCAGAAGATCGTTTAGGCAAAAACGGTGCAGATGAAATAAAAGCTCATCCATTTTTCAAAACAATTGATTTTTCAAGCGATCTACGGCGACAGCCTGCTTTCTACATTCCCAAAATTGCTCATCCTACGGACACGTCAAACTTTGATCCAGTTGATCCAGATAAATTGTGGAGTGATGATGATAAGGAGGGGAACAGAAATGATACCCTTAATGGGTGGTACAAAAATGGAAAACATCCTGAACATGCTTTTTATGAGTTCACCTTTCGAAGATTTTTTGATGACAATGGCTACCCATACAATAATCCAAAGCCCATTGAGTATGAGTATGGTAGTTCCCAAAATTCAGAACAGCAGTCAGATGATGATGATGATGATGAACAGGCAAGTAGAGTAGTTCAGAGTCGTGATTTGGTTTATGTTTAGTAGAGGAATAAAAGTCAAAAATGAAATAATCAGTTTTGCAGCTGTAGCTTTTCAAAAGTCTCTTCCTTTAAGAGTATTGAAAGAAGATTGCTAGGGTAAATATGTGCACACTTCTTTTTAAATTCTAAAAAAAATATTTCTTTATTTTCCCTCTCTGTACATTTTGTTTCCCTAGACTATAGGGAAATCCTTCTAAAAATTAATTTATTCCAGTGATGTTAATTGTTTAATTTAGAAGAGATTTGATGTTAGGTTAAAAAAAGTCACTTGAATATTATTATTGGTCCTCTGTACTCTAAGTACTCAAAATAGGAAATAGTGATTTTTTTCCCCAAAAATGCCTGGTATCTATTTATACATATAGTGAATAATTTTAGAGAACAAATCTCTGCTTCAGAATTTTTAATCACAGTTTTTCCATGCATTGACCAAATATAAAACCTACTTTACACTAATAAAGTTCTCGGATACATTTCTGAAAAGAAAGGCTGCTGTACCCTCACTTCTCACTGTATTTAGCCTCATTATTCACAGTGTTGGAAAAACAGCCACCTTCTGGTGAAATGTTTCCAGCTGCTGTGGGAGTGGCCTAGTTCTCAGCTTTGAAACACAGAAGTGTCAGTCTTGACTATAGTATGATCATAAGATGATAAAACATTAGAACTAGTATTTTATTAAATAGGGATTGGATTTGATATTAGTAACACTAGCATGTGACTGGTACTCCTCTCAAAGCAGGACTGCTCACTCAGAAACAACTTGATTGTCTCTTGTCATCAGTTCTATAGATGTAAGAGGAAAAGAAGCCTTAGAAACACTTTCTGAAATCTAGTTCAATTTTCTGACTACAGACAAACTGTAAAGTGTGTACAGTGCTGCTTTAGTTGGGATTTTTAGTTTGAAAAATAAATTTTAGGGTAGTATTTTTATGATAAATTTGAGATAGTAATGGGAAAAGATTATAAATTATTACTTTTGAGACTTGTTGTAGAGACCCATTTGCTTTGACTGGAACAGTTTTCCTTCTGGTTAAACAGGCACTGAGGAGGCCTTTGCACAGCTCTGTCTCAGGTGGCAGTACAGTTTCAATGCTCTGTCACGGCCTGGTTCAGAACAGAATTAGGAACTTAGACCTGTGCCTGCTGCCTTCTGCATTACTGTTTCCTTAATTTCCAGCAGCAGATGCTCAGACAGCTCCTAGGGTCTCATGGAGGGTACTGAGCCTATTGAGGTTATGTGGAGCAGGGATGGGAGCATCACTCTAAGCAGTTTCACCGAGATAAGGTCAGGAGTTAAGTGTTGAGAGGCAGAAAGAATTATGTTTTTGTCTCTATCCTCCTTTTCCTTAAAATAAACACAGTGGTAAAAAAATGCACTATTTTTAGTAAACTTAATGACTTTTGAAACATTTCTTCTTCCTTGGAATTGAATTCCAATGGATAATCTAATAACACGGCATGTAAGCATTACTGCTTTCCTAAATTATTATTTGTGCCATTGTACTGGCATTGCAAGTATCTAAACAACATGAAATTTGTGTTCATAGCTGTTCTTGAAGCAAACATCAGTTGCCAGTTTACTTTTCTCACCAAGCTGGTTTGTTTGCTTATGGCCATTTATTCTTTTTTTTGTGTTTGAGTCCAGTGTCTCTTTTTGTGCCAGTGCAACTGTCTCTAGTACTGTCCTACATACTGGATCACTGAAGAAAGTGCTTGTTGGTTAGCATTTGAAATTTCCCTTCTTGTGAGTGTGGTCATTTGAGTGATCCAGTTTCTAGTGTGGTCCAAAAATTATTTATATTGACATAACTGAGGAAACTGCATCAGGTTGGCAGTAAGGAAGTTCTTAAATGTACTTTGTCACAGAAGAAAGTGTTTGTGGGAGTTTGCCCCTCTACTGTGAAGCATTTATAATGGTTAGAAGGTGGTTGTGAGAAGTTTTCTCAAACAAGTTGTTAGTTGCTTACTATAACGAAAATGAGTTTGCAGCTTAATAAAACAATCCTGTTCTGCCTTTCCCACAGCTGTTGAAATAGAGTAGCTTTTAAGATTAATTTCATTTAGCTTAATTATTATAAAATGGCTGCAGTGCATAACTACTCCATTTTATATATTATGTAAAAAAGATTGCTTTTCATGTAAATAAACTTTAAAGATTATCCTCCTTCATAGTAAGTATCCCAGTAAAACTGGTCTACTTGTCTTGGAGCAAAGTATAATATATTGCTGGTTAAAGGTAATTTAATCAAGCCTCTGCTTCAACATTTTTGAAGTGTGCAGAGAAAATAATGTCAATTCATTAAATTCACTCTTAAAATTGCCTTTTCATCTGAGTATATCTCTCCTCTGCCTGCACTGTACTATACTAAACAGGTGTATTCCTGTTTAATACTATTACTGATCCTAGGCAATTTAAAAATAATTCTAAAAAAGAATAAATAAGTGTCCTGTAAAGGACCATTGGTCTAAAAAGAAAAACCAATTGCTTTTATTAAAGGAAATTATTGATTGTTTTAAGGACATGTGCAGGTACTGAAATACTAAATACTCTTTTGCCTTTTTTAAACAAATACAGGAAGTGCTCATAACTTTAGAATTTGGTAGATGCTTCTGGCATTTTCTAATATCATGTGTTAGAAGTTCCTTGTTTGCATTTTGCCACCTATATGCTGCAGTGTTATGTGTTTCCTTGCAAGAAGTTACAGTCCAGGTTCTTCTCTGAGAAAGTTAGTTACACATGAATGTTGTCACAACTCTCCAGCATGCTCTGCCTTACCCATGTTTTGAAACTTGACGTTTCATACATAGATTCAGAGTCTGTTGAGATTCTTCATATTTGCTGCTTAAAACATGGGTGTTTCACTGGTGACCTACAATGGGGATTGGTTTATACAGGCAGTGGAGAAGAGAGGCTCCTAGCCAGCAGCTGTGGAATTCTGCAGTAAGTTTTAGTTCAGGTTACCTTTACTTTGTAAAGCATGAAAACAAGTTTCTCTTTTATGTGTCCTTGTATACATATTAATTGTATTTATAAAATGTTCTATAATCCTATAACTTGTACTGTAAATACTATTTGATATTCAGTGGCATTCTATCCTCGGGCAGGCCCTCTTGCTGTATCTTTTCTATCCTCAATTTGTAATAGAATCTATAGAATTTATGTCTAGAAAGTCTCTTTGAGACTGATGTATCCTCCGCTGTTGCAAAAACTGTGAGTGGGAATGATTTATTTAGACTCCTTTTAATATTATTCAGCTGATAGGCAGTGCAGTGGGTGGGTTCTTAGATTATGCTGCTGTCACTGAAGATACTATTAGGCTTTTGTTTCAGATGTTGTGGGTGTTTCAGATCAGAACTTGAAATCTGTTTGCTTTATTTCAGCCAAAGCAAAAATGACAATGAATTGGGTCAATGTCATACTAAGATGTTTTGAATGCCTTAAGATGGTCATGATAAAGGCACTATTCAAGTTTACTGATTTATATATATCTATATAGATATATATAGACATATTCTGTGTGTATATGTATATATAATGTCCTTTTTGTATTATAAGACTGTCAGTTCTTTTGGAGTCTTCTATTAAATACATAGACCATCCCACAATTCTGCTTAAGCGGATCATTCATTTATTCTGTGTCTAGCTAGTAAACTTAACAATTTTGCATTATCTCATGGCCATAGTAAGTTATTCACCAATTTTTTTGCATGTTCTTTACTTTTCTCGATCATGACCGGGCATCCTGTTTTGCCAGGTCTCTGCATTCCTGCAATCCAGCTACATGTGTGCCATGCGATCTCTGAATGCCCATTGGCACACTTGCGTCTTTGGGACTTATGGGGTGGTGGCTTGGACTATGATCTCCAAGACTCCTGGTGTTCATGTGAAAAGAATGTGCATCTTTGCTGACTTTTCCAGTAGGTACACTGGAGCATCCATCCCCTCCGTCCAGGACTGCCAGGTTTCCAGTTTGTCAGTGCCCAGCAGTTGAGCAGTGGAGGCTTTCTTGCCCCTGTTGACTGAACACACAGCATTGTGTGTTTGACCTGGGGGATGGGATTTGAGTGGTTGCACTGACACCTTCTTAAAGGCTATTTTAGAATAAGAGAAAGAATTCCAGCTCTCATGAGCAGCCTAACTGAATTATCAGCTACTGGTGGTCAGTGACATTCTGAGTTCTAGAAATTGTTCTCAGAATCAGTTTCTGTAGTGTAACAATTGATGGAATAATAAACACCACACTGGACCTTTATAAGAAGTGAAAATCACATTCTTATTTTGGCTATTCAGGCATAAAATGTAAACATTAGTTGCCCAATTACATTTATTTTTCTGTCCTCCTTCACATCCCTCTTCTACAAGTTCCATTTATGCTGCAGCAGTTCTACTGTTTAACATTAAAATGGCACACGTGTAACAGCAGGAATGCTGTTGTACTTGGCTGTCACCTCATGTTTGTAACCTGTTCTCAAAAGTATACATGTTGATTTTCAAGAGTTCAATTTGTTGGTATTCTTTTTGTACCATGAAGCTGTTCCTTAAGAAGACAATGTATCACAACTTTCATCTGTGTTTGTGAAAATCCCCTTCTTGAAGTGCACATCTCAAAGTGCTAATGCAGAAACTAATGTGTTATTGGAGAGACTGAGTTATATCCTAATTCTGCTATACTTGTGGAGGAGTTTGTGGAAATACAGTACCATTCTTTATTCATTAGCCCACCTACAAAGGGGAGACAGAAAATTCCTCCAGCTTCATCAACCAAGTGATGTGATACACTTTAAATTTTAGAAACTCATCAGCAGCTGTGTCTTGATAGCTGAAGTAATGTAGGAATGGTTGTTTTAAACGTAGACATTTGTTAGAAATGGGAAAGACTAAAACTGCCAGTTTAAGAATGGGTAGAAATAGAATAACAAGACGAGTAAGAATGGATGTGATATAGTTAATTAAAGGATGACATACTGCTGTGGGGGTTTGGAGTTGACCCTGAAGGACTATAATAAACCTCCTGCATTGTGCTCAACCTTTAAATCCTCTTTGTTGCTAAGCAGCTGAGTCTCTTTAGACAGGTGCCGAGGTACTGCTCCATCAAGGATACTTAAGGGCGGTTTTCTGGTCTGACTCCACTCGCTCGGCAGCAGGTTTTCCTCAGCACTCTTAGACACGTTTTCTTCCCCAGAACAACACCATCTATGAAAGTTTGAAGAGGTGCAGACAAGTCACAAGCAAAGAACATGTAGATGTGCTTGCTTGCTGTTCACTCGGCGAAACTCACATATAGTTAATAGGGAAGCAATAGCTAAATAGCTAAAGGGAAGCAAGCCATCGGCCACCAGGGCGGGATCTCAAGTGCTGTGGGGAAGGAAACTTGTGTTTGTCACCTTTGAGTCATGAAGGCAGGGACGATTCATCGCACAAGCATTGGTGGTTCAGTGGTAGAATTCTCGCCTGCCACGCGGGAGGCCCGGGTTCGATTCCCGGCCAATGCAGTTGCTCTTTCTTGGTTTTTTTTCTTTCTTCTTTCCCCGCTACTCTTTATAATTTAAAACCAAAGCAGCTCTTCGCTCTTAGTTATAACGCTCAAACGTAAACCAACTCCTTGTCGGTCCGGCTGGGTGGACCGTCTCCCCCGTCCTACCAGGCTGGAAGTGACGCAGCCGGATTTGCCTTCAAAAATTGCCGGCGGCGGCGGCGGGAGGTGGAGGGCAGGGCCGGGGCGGGGCCAGCGGCGCTGCGAGAGGAAGGGGGCGGAAGAAGTGGAGGGGTCGTGGCTGGTGCCGCCGTGAGCTGCTGCCGCCGCCGCGGGTGCGAGCTCCGGAGAGGAGTAAGTGAGCGGGAGGGGCCCGCGGGGTCCGGCCGGGCCGCAGGGACAGGCGGGCCCGGGCCGGCGGGCGACGGCCGCGCCCCGCGTGGCGAGGCACCCTGAGGGTTCCCGGGCACGGGCGGGCTCCCGCTGCTCTGCCCGCGGCCGGAGGGCGAGGGGCCGCGGGGGCTGCTGTGGCGACAGCCGTGACCACGGAGCTCGTTCTGTCGCGGCTGTGGCTCACACGTGCTCGGCGCCGCTCTGCCCGGGGCTGCCGATGCCCGCGGTGTGCGGCCGGCGCTCCCGGCCCCGCAGCCCGCCCGGGTGCACTCCCGGGACTGCTGGCACCGGCCCGGGCACGGAGCGCTGGGCCGGTCTCCCTTCACCCTCCACCTGTTTTGGTGTTGGGGGGTTTTTTGTTAATGTGCAGTAATCTGCGGCGATGCAAGTTTTCTCTCCAGACAGAAGCTGTAGGCAGCAATTTCAGATATCTATTCAGCCACGGACCTCTCTAAACATCCAGAGAAATTTGTTAATTTAACATTGATCGCCAAAAAGAATGCCAGCCCCTGTGAAGTGGGGAGAAGCCTGTTTAATAAAGCCTTCTGAAAGGCTTAGCCTGGAAAACATAAAATGAAATGCCACCCATGTATCTCTACCGAGTGATTGATTTTTAAATGTTTTTTTTTTTTCCACAAACTGCCAGCCATACTTAGGTTTGTGGCTGCTGGTGGTTCTTCTGCTAACTGTTACTGTTAAATACTGCAACTGCGTGAGAACCATTCTGTTTAGTATCCAGTAAGTCTGGCAGCTCTCCTTCCCAAGTAATCAACACAGTCACTTGTTGATACCAAATGTTACTGGCCATGGATGTTATGAAGAAGAGTATTAAAGGTGGAAGCAAACTCGGAGGTGATGCAGGCCATTGTGTCATCACTAAAAACTGATTCCTGAAAGCTGTTACTATGGGGTGTTTTTTTTTCTCCTCTGGCTTGCCAAGAGAACTTTGCAAATATTACAGGGTTGCTTTGATGTCAGAGCCGGTATATCAGGCTGAAATAATGGAAACATGTGCACTCTGCCAAAATTCAGGCTCTGGCTTAGTCCAGACATTAAGGTTGGAGCAAAGAACTCCTTGAAAGTATTTTCCCCGTATGGTTCATGCCTTCCAGTCAGCTGGTCTACCACAGTAATTGACACACTATCAGTCAATCTCTTATTTTATTTTTTAAATTTTGGGTGACTTCTTTGTGTTACAGGATTGATGCAGTGTTCCTGGATTCTGACATATGACTGTGAGCAGAAATTACTTACAGTAATTTCCACTGATGATTTCATGAAGTTGTTATGGAATACATGAAGTATCCCCAGGGTTTTCTTGATAATGGTTAGACTGGTATCTTTCAAATGAAATACAAAAATAAGTTCCAAAACCTCATTCTCACAAGCTGTAGGGATATTGAACTTTTGTTAGGTTCAGCCCTTGCTGGACTTGGCTGTTCTATACTCTAGAAATATTTTAGGTCCTTGGAGCAAATGATAAAATGTATTTTGTAACTAGAGATGGGTTAATTTCAGACAACCTTAATACTCACAGCTGGTGTGAAGAGTGATTATTCTTGTGAAGTCTGCGTGTTTGTACACAGTGAAGAATTAAACTTGGAAGACAAAGTCCATAGGTTATTTTCCTTGTATCCTGTTCACTGTAAACTTTATGAGCTCTTCACTGTTTCAGCGGCTGTTGGAACTTAGATAACTTCACTGGTCATGATTCATGGAAAGGTTGTGGCTGATAAGTGCAGACCTGCTGCTTTGACATCCTGTTACGTGATAGCACCAAGTATTTGTAAACACATGTGATATTGCTAATTAAATACTTTAAGAATTATTAAGTAGTGCAGGATTAGTTTTTGAGAGTTTTAATCCCTTCTGGTTTAACTCTGTGTGTAGTCATGCTTCTCCCATGTCCTCCACCCTGCTGTACTGCCCCAGTATATTGTCACCTTTTGCCACAAACTTCAGTCTACTTTCAGATTAGTACTCTAACTCTTCTTTTTCCCTCCTTAGAGCTTCTTTACCATCTTCACTTACAAGTGCAGCAGACCCATCGACTCATTAGTGTATCAGCTCCGACACTGCCTGAAGTCGTGGCAGCAGCAGTGGCATGTCCAGATATAAGCAGAGCCAGCAGCTTTTTCTGCCTCACTTGTATTCAAGAGCCTTATATTTGGAAGCCACTTCAAAAGCTCTTTTGCACTCATGAGTCAAGATGAGGCAACAAATTAAATTGGTTTTCTAGTTTAAGCCGAATTATCTTGCATTTTCAGTAGCACTGATGAGACAGGTAGATTCCAATAGTATTATAAGCTTGAGTGAGCACCTTCTTCCTTCTTTTGTTTCTTCCCATGAGTTGCTAGCTTAGTCTGCTTACATATCTGTTTATTCTTTCTAGCCTTGTATTCTCTGCCCTTTCTAACCTGAAAATGTCATTGACTATTTTTATTATGTGCAGACCTTTTGGTCCCAAGCTTTCATACATTTCTGACTTAGCCTCTTTAGTTTTGTTGTTTATTTTTTTTTCTAATTCTAGTTATTTTCACGTTTCCAGATGAAAACTATTCTTAAAAACTTTTCTTTTTCTGTGTACATAAAGTTGCTGTTCTGCTTGGATTGCTCTACAGCATTCAGTGAAAAAAGTTACCTATGACTTCCCTCTGTATTTAAAAGTCTAGTTTGGTTTTAGTAACTTGCTATTACTTGATTTTTAAAATGTCTATTAGCATCTTGCTCAACTCGTGATTTCAGTAGTGTTAGTCATCAGTTTGAATTCTCAGGATACGCAAACAGGTGTATCTGGTAGGATGAGCAGGAGTGGAAAAGCTCGCTCCTAAATACAGCAGGGAAAACTTTGTTAACATCTGTGTGATGATCCATACAGCAGTTGACAAACATCTTCAGGCTCTTTATTCTGAAGTTAAAACCAACAAAACTGCCAAGCCAAACTGTGTCTCCAAAGCCTAATTAGCTTGGGATATGTTAATCTTTGTAGTTGGTGGTCACATTAACTGTATCAGCTTGTAGACATCATGGCCAGCTGGGCGAGTGAGTGTCTGGCCGGAGTGAGATTACACCGTGTAGGTTCTGTGATAGCAGGTTCTCTGCTCACCCCACGGGTCCCCTCTGCAGGGATGGGTGTGGGCTCATGGAGGCCTGTCTTCAGCTCTGCTGCTGTGCCAGAGTTTTGCTCATCTGGATTGAAAATTTCGACAGCAGCTATTTGCTCTAATGTCAGCTGGGGAAGGAAGAGGAGGGAAGCAAATAAAGAAGAGGATGTTGGCTCAGGAATGCCTGAGCTGTGTTTCTGTGCATCAGACTACTTGGGAAGGGGACAGAAAAATGAACGAAAGCCCTGAAATGTTTGATTTGTACTTAACAGCCCCTCTTTACGATGGAAAGCTCACATTTTAGCAATAGGTTGGCAGGTGTGTGCAAAGAGTGGCTTCTGAAACCTGTGATGATGTGTCCGAGCTCGACCCTGATCTGGTCTTGAAATATATTCAGCCCTAAGTCTGTTTATTGCGCATGTGAATTTAGTGCCTCTTACATTCTTTAAATAGTTGATCTGTATCAAGTATGCTTCATCCCAGGGCTTAGCTGGAGTTGGCTTGTCTGCAGTTGCTTCTTCCTGGCACTGGTACAGGTACCAAAGAGAGTAGGATGACTCTCCTGCTGGTGTGGTTTTTCGCTGATTTCAGTGTTTTCTGTGCTTGGTTAGGAAATTATGAGGAGAGTGGGGAAATTCTTGGTATGTAAGAGATAAGAAAAGTGGGGACAGCACAACTGTTTTAGAGAAGAAGTGCCTGGGGTGTATAAGACACTGACAATGTGGGAGAACTGTTCCATGGACAATAGCATTATAAAGAATGAGCCTACTTCTACTGCTTCTACTTCTGCTGTGCTTGTATAAGTAATACTTCCGTGCTATTCTAATCTAAAAGCACAGATTCTGTTAGTGCTGCAAAGTGGAAGTGGTCACAGTCTATGATGTTTGCTCCAAAAAACCACAAACAAGCACCACTGACAGGGAAAAAAATGCATGGTTTGAAAAATGCATTAAATAAAATGGGTGGTTACATACCAAGGGTTTGATTGTGGCTTTTGCTTACCTTTCAGTGATAACTTAAACAGCCTTGATGTTTTTCAGGGGTTTCTTTGTAGGTGTAAGAATGAAGGTGATAGGAAGGTGCAAGCTGGGCATGGAAGGTGGATATTTGTTTCAAAGAAACAATAAATAAAACTGAAGAATTGTAAAATCAAGCTAATGGAAGAATAGTGTTTTCCACAAAGCAAAATCAAACTATTAAAACTTTTCATGCATGCAATGTTAAGGAAAAAAAAATTAAGGAAACAATGCATTAGGAAGAAGGGCTTTGGTTTATTGCTTGTTTGGTATTTTTGAGGTTTTTTTTTAAAACCACACAAGACAGGCCAGGCACAGTAAAATACTAATTTATCTTCAGTAGAATAAAGATGTAAGGAGAGTATGCAACTATGACTTGTAATAATGCATTTAAATTTGTATATCTTACATGGGCTTTTTGGCAGAATATCCATGACAAGAAACAAAGCTGTAACATGAAAAGCTTAATTTTTACTAATAGAATATCAATTCTCTTTTTATATGTATGACATTCATTTTAGGCCTTTTTTTTTGTAACCAGTGTTTTCTCAGCTTCTATGTTTTAATATGCCAAATGAGATAATAAGCATATGAAAATACTTGCAAAAAATTGTTTCAGTCCTCGGTTGGTTTTTTTCCTTCCTTAATATTTCCTATTTTTTTTTTCAGCTTCATGTTGAACATGAGCCTTGTTATGATCATTGAGAATGTGAAGTTGGCCCGTGAATATGCCTTACTGGGAAATTACGACTCTGCAATGGTCTACTACCAGGGAGTTCTTGACCAAATGAATAAGTATCTGTACTCTGTGAGAGATACCTACCTGCAGCAGAAATGGCAGCAGGTAAATAGCACTTTTCTGGGACATATTGAGGGAAAAGCATTGAAGTAGCAAGAATTTTTATCTTAGTGCAAACAAAAATATAAAAATACTTACCCCATTATCTCATAGTGTTGTTATATATAGGCTTCTTTTTTGTTATATAGACTTGTTTAAGTCATCTTTATGACTTCTTTGTCTGACAGTGGCAGAACAGTCAATGGAACATGGCTCTGAGGAGCAAGTGCAATGTCTGCCCTGACAGCTATGCTGATGAGTATATCTTTAGGGTATCACCTGGTATCTTTAGGGTCTTATTTCCCTCAATGTTTTAGTGGGACTAAGGTCCTTAACAGCAAGTTGATAATTTGTCTTCAACAAAAAAAACTCTTTTTTTTTTTTTTTTAATTGATATTCTGCCTATTAGGTTGATAGTTTTGATTAATATTTAGTCTGTTAGGTTCTGTCATACCTGTTTAATCTGCAAAATTTGTTAAAAAAGTTTCTTTGATATTAAATCCAAAATCTCTTTGTTTGTTCTTTAAATGTGCTGAGGAAGGCAGAAAAACCTCTTTAATATCTAATGTGTGTAATTCTTGTTTACTGAAGTAGAATTAGGTAGCTTATTAAACCCTGTGGAATCCATCCAGGCATTTCATGGGCTTGAACAGAGGACTGTTACAAACTTATTTCCAGTGTGCTTAATCTACCTATTTTTAAAATCAGGTTTGGCAGGAGATAAGTGTGGAAGCTAAGCATGTGAAAGATATAATGAAAACACTGGAGAGTTTTAAACTAGACAATACTCCATTGAAAGCCTCACAACAAGAATTACCAGCTCATGATGCAGAAGTCTGGTCTTTGCCAGTACCTGCTGAACGTAGGTAAGAGGAAACCTGAAGACCTAAATTAATATTTATCAGGACAAAGTATGCTTTGGCTTCAGCCTTGAACAGCTTCAACCTGTTGTGGTGCAATTTTTGTTCTTGAGCTTAGATGTGTAACACTCACACCAGCAGCTTGACACCATTTGTGGTGAAGGAGGTGTCAGGTGAACGTTCTGGGGTTTTATCTTACATAGTCCTGACTAATTTCAAGGTTCTTCCCCCCACACACTGTTGCCTGCCTTGTTTGGTTTTTGGTTTTGAGTTTTTATTTCACTTTTGTTTCTGTTGGCATTAATTAGCTGGTTCAGGATGCTAAAGATATTGTTCTTTTTTTTTTTTTGAGTAGCTATCTGACCAGGTGCACTGGAGGTTCTAACACATGCCAGTGGTAGCATGAGGGAGGGAACAGGAGTACTTGCAAAGCAGGCACAGAACTCTGCATTTTAACAGAAAGTGACTATTAGATTACTTTAACTGTATTGTCAAATTATTGTTTGTTAATTTTTTTGAGCTCCATTTTACTTCTACTGATGAAATATACAAAGCAAGGCACTTATTTTAAGCAGGTGGACCCTGAGCTTGTGGCACAGGGAAAATGGATTTTTAGTCACTATCTAAAAGTATCTGTCTTGTTTCTGACATACAGATTTTTATCTTGAGCAGTTTGTAACCAGTTGATTTGGTTGTGTGGTGCTCACCAGTGGCTTTACACTGAGGCTTTTTGCATATGTTACAACTAATTAGACCTTCGCCAGGACCCAGGAAGCGTCAGTCTGCTCCGTGCAGTGATTGCAGAGGCCACAATAATCGTGTGAGTGCAGCTGTCAGAGGCTCTCACCGTCCCTCCTCCCGGAACCCCAATGATAAAGGCAAGGCAGTCCGCAGCCGGGAAAAAAAAGATCAGCAAAATAAAGGAAAAGAGGAAAAGGTAAACTTGAAAATAACTTCATGGTGTTGAGAAGCTCAGTTGTGCTTTTTTAGTATTGAAATGATAAAATGTATTATAAAGCGTATTAGAAAATGACATGCCTATAAAATGTTTCTTCTGTTCATGTCAGCGTGCTGATTTGAATCTCACCTTGTAAAGTGTCTTTTCTTTGTGCACAGTGTTGGTTATGGATTAATTAGAAACAAACAATTGCTCTGGGAAGTTGGGATCTGGTAAATGTCTCTGAAGGTGTATGCCAAGGGGATGTTTCCAGGCTCTTCTTGGTGGTTCCAAGCAAAAGGACAAGAGGCAACAGGCAGAAACTGATGCACAGGAAGTTCCGCCTGAAGATGAGGAAGTACTTTTCTACTGTGTGGGTAACCACACACTGGAACAGATTGTCCAGAGGGGTTGTGGAGTCTCCCTCACTGGAGATACTCAAGAACCTTCTGGACACAGTCCTGTGCCATGTGCTCAGGGATGACCCTGCTTGAGCAGGGAGGTTGGCCCAGATGACCTGCTGCGGTCTGTTCCAGCCTGACTTGTTCTCTGATACTGCAACTTGAAGGCAGTTGTTTAAAGTGATATCACTGAATTTCTCACTGGACATAGAGCCCAGTGGAGCTCATTCACATGGAACATCTTTGTGACATCATTGCTTTGAGTATAATTTAAAGCAAGATTGACTTGCCTCTTCCAAAGCATATCAAGATTTACTTATCCCTTAAATGAGACCCCTGACTTTTTTTTTGTTTCTTTTATTTTCTTTTAAGCTGTGTTGCTAGCCACATACTCTCTTCAGTTTTAAACAAAAAAAAAAAACCAGCATACTTGAACGATGATCAGTTCTTGGTGATCAGAGTTCTTTAATTTTTGCTTTGTGCTCTGGTCTCCATAAATTTAGCAGATGACCAAGGTAAGAGACCATATGGAAAACAGCAGATTCATAGTTTTCCAGGGTCTAAATAAATCAAATATCCATGCAATAGTTTGTTAGCTTCAGCAACCCTAAGTTGTGATAAGGTGTCATGGCCTGTGGAAGTAGTATAATCTACAAGGGTAGAATTGTTTAGCTGTATAAGCTACTACTTTTATTAGGAGCTGAATTAGATTGCCTATGAGTGATAATCCTCGCTCTATCAGAATATACCCACAGAGAGACAGGATAGGTCTCTTTTTCTCTTTTACAGTTGTTCTGTCATCACCAGTGCTTGCTGTTAAATGTATAAAACCAGGGTATGTCTAGTGGATTTTATTTCCTTTCAGTTGCATGGTCTCTGCTGTTTGAGCCCTTTCAGCTATGTAGCTTCTTTGCTTCGACTCTGCTGCAGAGCTGCTTCTCTGCTGTTCATGTCCATGCTTCTGTATCAGTTAATTAGCTCTGGTTTTACCCCTGTGGTCTTCCTGCAGATCACCATTGCTCATTCTACATATGGAAGTCATGCTTAAATTGTTTTTGTGGCCCACATACATGACATATTTGTGACACTTAGAGAATTTGAGATACTCTCAGTGTGACACTTTGTGGTCCAGTCTTGCACACAATTTCCCCCTGTTGTGTCTTGGATAGTTTCAGATTTCTTTGAGAGAAGAGGCAGAAACTCTTACACTGGGATAGGTGTATGCAGTTTTGGTTAGGTACCAAAGCAAAGAAACTGCATCAGTACAATATGCTGGCTTTGGAGAGAAGGAAATGGAACCAGAGCAGTAGAGAAATCTGTGTGAAACACAGCGATTCATCCTGCAGTGCAGCTGTAATATGGATATTTCATAATTTTCATGCTGGTTTATGTTGCCACCTTCTAAAAGTATGATGCTGTTGTGGACTTGTAAAAATTCATTAGTAGCATGACCATTGTTATGTATTTACACTGTTATATCCTTTATATGTAGAACAAATCCACATCTGAGATTTCAGAGTCTGAACCAAAGAAATTTGATAGTACTGGATATGATAAAGATTTAGTAGAAGCTTTGGAAAGAGATATAATTTCTCAGAATCCCAACATCCGATGGTAAGTTTGAGTACTGCTGCTAGTCTCTTGAGTTGTTTTTGTTTCCTCTCACATGATATGGCAAGAATTAATTATTTTAACAGATATGTACACATATAAAAAATACATACACGTTTTCCTTACTGATTTTAAATAGGCAGCTTAACTTTTTATGTAGTTGAATACTTCTAGAGCTCAAAATTTTTTTTTTCCACACATAGATTCATATCATAGTTTGGGCTGGATGGACTTTTAAAGATCATCTAAAGCTTCTCAAAATTTTGTGAGAGTCCTAGTACTAATTTTTGAGATATTCTTTTGCAATGTAAAAGTTTCTCATTTCTGTCAGTGTCTCTTCATTTGAAAATCTGTCTTGCTACTCTGAGGCATATCAACACAGAAAACTGATTAAAAAAGAAGCTATGTCAATGTAGGAACCCTTTGAAATGTTGCTGGATGTAATGTGGCCATTAGTATAAAATATAACCCTGTGCCAGTACCTTTGTATAAACGTGTTAAATATGAAACCTTATATAAAGCTTGTTTTGTGTTCCAAATATTTCCAAGCTTAGGTGGTTTTGTGAGGATTTAATGAGCAAAAATCTTCTGGCAAATGAAGTAGGCTTTAAAAAAAACCAAACAGTCCCACAGAACACTTTGTGTGCATGCAACTGCCTTGTATTTCAGTTTAATATTTAAATATATGTTTCGGGTTTTATATCAAATCTTAAATTTCGACTTCAGATTTTAAACTAGTTCTTCATATAGATTTGTTCTGAAACCAAAATATTACTTGGGTACCTGCTGATAAGAGGAATGCCCTGAAAGTTACTTTCAAGGAAATAAAACCAACTTGTAAGGTATCTAAGAATTAATACTTTTATAACTCTGAAAAAGAATTCTAAACATTCTGTTTAATTCTACTCCATTTACTAGTCTTCAGCAAGTTGTTCTTGTGACAATGAAAGAATGGTATTTAAAGTTTCAGGGACATCCAACCTCTCAGCAAAACAAGAGCATAATTGGTAGTTAGACTTAAGTTTAACCAACCTGCTTTCTTCTCCTTGCCTTTCTCTGAATACTGACAGTGGTGCTCTAGTGAAATAGTTTATAGGGTTTTTTTGCTTTTGCATCCATCTGGAGTCCGCCAGGCAGATGCCAATTGTAGCTGATACAGCTTTTGCCACTAGAATGTAAACAATTCAGGAAAACAAATTAGATTTATGGGAGAACCAGTGCATAGCAATAAGTTTAATTGTGCATTTTTTTGAGCTGTGGAGTGATTCTTTTGCCTCCTGTCTGAATCTGTCAAACAACTTTCTATTTCTTGTCAGGGATGACATTGCTGATTTAGTAGAAGCCAAAAAGCTGCTTAAGGAAGCTGTAGTTTTACCAATGTGGATGCCAGAGTTTTTCAAGGGGATTAGAAGACCCTGGAAGGTATGGAAAAGTCTGCTCCTGCAATCATAAGTAGGATTTTGAGATTGGATCTTGGCAGAACAAGAAATTTCAAATGTTTTACAGTTTAAATAAATTCTTCCTGCATTTTGGTAACAAGATTTATTGTAAATAACAACAAAATAAATATGTCAGCCAGATTCCTGCACACTGTCTTCAGCTAGGTGTTTGTGAGTAAGCCATGATACTCATTACTTACCTTTGAATAACTTTTCAAGGGAAAATTTACATCCAGTAGTACTATTATACTAAATAAACTGTAAAATCCTCTGTTTTGATTCCTTCCTAAAAGTGGCTCTTTTTCATTTTTATAGGGTGTGCTGATGGTTGGTCCTCCTGGTACTGGAAAGACTCTCCTAGCAAAAGCTGTAGCCACTGAATGCAAGACAACTTTTTTCAACGTTTCTTCTTCCACACTTACCTCAAAATACCGAGGAGAATCTGAGAAACTTGTTCGTCTGCTGTTTGAAATGGTGATTTAAGTTTCTGAACACGAAGATAATGAAGTAGAATCACCTCTGGAACAGTGAAACCTTACCAAGGTTTCAAACTTATAGCATACATAAACAACTCTCCAAACTTCAAATGCTTGGGGCATTTCTCATTTGTCCGTTTGCATTTCAAGATTATTCCTAAATGGATTTATAAAGGCTGAAAAATAGGTTGTTTTTTATTTTTGGGGTTAGCTTGCTACATTAGAGATAGCTTACTATAAGCTGGTGAGTGCTGTGGAATATAGTTGAATGGCTATCTAGGGATGGCATTAATTGCTTTCTGGGTGAGAACCCCATTTAGGCTGTGTGTTTTGTTGTTTTTGTGGGTGGTTTTATGTTTGTGGTTAAAAGAAATGGCCTTCCAAACTGTAGTTGGCTTCAGAGCACATAATACTTGAAATAATATTCAGGAAATAGCTGTCTTTTTTTTACCTGTGTTGCCAGATGTGTGTGCAGTGTTTGCTAGGGTGCCCAGTACTGAAGGGGACAGCAGAGTTACAATTACAGTAATCAGAAAAGGCGGGAAATAAATCTTTTACATTATAGTTTGTTAGGCAGGATACCAGCTCATTAATGTGATTGGTCAAAAATGCAGATAACACAATGAGCCGCATTTCAACTGCTCTAATACAATAGCTTTTATTATCCTGGATCCTTATCTTTAAATGCTCTTGTTTTCCAAAATGTCAGTTACTTTGCAGTTGACCTATCTCTTGGACAGGTTCCATGTCATGATGTCCCAGCTTAACATCCATCCTGGCTTTAACTGAAATATTATTCAAGCATTCTGTGATGACTTTCACAGTTTTAAATGTTTCTCCTAATGTGGGAAACTGCCTATAGCTCCTGAAATGTTTATTTATAGCCCTAACAGCCACGGGACTTTGCCAAAAGCTCTTCTTCTCAAAGGCTGTGAATGAATGCACAGCTGCTCTGTACCTGAGTGCTGGGGTCCAAGAGAGGGAAGGGTGGGGATCCTTTGATACCTAGAAGCCGAGGTAAATGCATGATTGCTCTGCTCTGAATATGCTGCTACTTCTTAAGTGGGAGTGAACTGCTATTTCAGATTCTGGTTTATCTTTTGCTTTCTTCAGGCTCGATTTTATGCCCCAACAACCATATTTATTGATGAGATAGACTCCATCTGTAGCCGCAGGGGAACTTCAGAGGAGCATGAAGCCAGCCGACGTGTGAAGGCAGAACTGCTAGTTCAAATGGATGGTAAATAACCTGATCACTGGGAACTGCTGGATGGGAGGAAACTTGAGGGACAAAAAAAAAAAAAAAATTGAAAACTTCATTCTTCAGAAGTAGTTTTTCAAAAGCTTAACATGAAATTGGGGTTAAAAGCTACACGTGACATTATTTAACATTCTTTTGGTCTCTGAGCTATGATTTTATATTAGTGACCCAGAATAAGGAAGATTCAGTGGAAAATACAATATTTCAAAAGACCTGCTTCTCTCAGTCTTTGCCTGGCATATCACTCACTTCTTCAAAATTAAGTAAAAAGTGCTTTAAAAGAACTGTTACCTGTTTCTATTTAAACTTCAAAGGCAGTATTACACTTAACTTCTTTGGGATCTCTTTTTCTCCTAAAAATACAAGTAACAATTTAAGATCTTCTGTTTTATAGAAGTGGTTGGGAGAGCTTTCGTTTCAAAACACTGAGTTCACTACAGATATATGGCTAAAATTTCACAAATCAATGAAGTTCAAAAGTAGGTAACAATGCAGAGTTGCTATAGAGGCATCCATTTTATATTCTGAGGAGCGGAGAGAAAGAAAGGAACTACTGAGAAGTGCTTATCTATGGACTGATTTGTGATGGAATTCTGTGAGTCAGAATATCTGCATATTTATTTCTCCTCCTCTGATGTTGGTACCCTTTTATTTTTGTATTTAAAGAGCAGCAGAGCTCTAATACTGTTCTCATATTAAGTATGCATATAATCTGATTTTATTAGTAAGAACTATTTGAATCCTTTTACTTAGGCATTAATAAATTGTTTTATATGTAGACTCTCAGGCAGACTAGGTACAACAGCTACCCCACAGCCCAATCCTGTTCTAAGCAAAAACAGTAGATACAGAGAGTAGCAACTTCAATAAAATTACCTTCTTCCTGTTGTAGTAGAGTCATAGTGTTTAGAAACCGAGGTGTTCTATCTGTCTGTAAGAACTTGTGATTTAGTCCACCAAATTTAAACATTCACTTCAGTAGTTTGCACTGTCCTGTTGTACATATGAAACCTTTGGCCTGGTTTCAGAAGTGAAGACACCTTGTAGAGGAGTCATGCTGCTTTAGTGTGGCTGTTGGTGAATGCTATGGGAGATGTTGGGTTTTGGTGTGGTGATGGTGTTGGGCGTTGCTTTGTTTCCTCACAGGCTGCTACAAGATGTTGGTGTGAAAATTGAACCACTGTTGGGGCAGAAGTACAAATAATTCTGGTGTAAAACCATTCTGGCCATGATAGAGAGGAACTTCCTGGACTGAGCAGAACCCTGTGCCCCTGCTGCTCTTTAAACCAAGCTTCCATTTATGCTTCCAGGCTGTCATAGAGATGAAAAAGCTAACTCTGTTGTGCTTGGTGATTCTATTATGCTTGGGCTCATTAAAGTGCAGTAGAATACAGTTCTGCTTTAATACTGCAGAAGTGTTTTCTCTGTACATGAAATTTCAAAAAAACATATGTATATTTTACCTCCTCTTTTCTCCACTGCAGGTGTTGGGGGGGCTACTGAAAATGATGATCCTTCTAAGATGGTCATGGTACTTGCTGCTACTAATTTTCCTTGGGATATTGATGAAGCCCTAAGACGGAGACTAGAAAAGAGAATTTACATTCCTTTACCATCAGGTATGAAGAATTGGGGAGAGGATAGTTAAAACTTCTAAAATCTAAATTTTATCAACATTCCTTTAGTTTTGGTCACTTGGTTTAAAAATCTAATTGATATGTGTATGCAGATTCACATATGGATTCAGGACCAGCTGAAATCTAAACAGGACCATTTACTCTTGTAGCAAATAGAGCATCCTTTTCCTCATTCTTCCCTCTTATCCTCCTTCAATTTATTACTTATCTTCAGAAAGTACATGGTACAGACTCAATTTTCTTTTCTGTGATTAGCCAAAGGTAGAGAGGAACTCCTAAAAATAAATCTGCGAGAGCTGGAACTGGCTGATGATGTTGACCTTGCAAACATAGCTGAGAAAATGGAAGGTTATTCAGGTGCAGACATTACCAATGTATGCAGGTAAGCTGACATTGCATTTGTGTTACTACTGCTGCAAACTTTGGGAAAACTGTTTGTAAGGTAGCCAGTTTACACGATTAAAGTTATTGGATAAAAATGGAAAAGTTAAAATATTGCATTAATATTTATCTAAATTTCCATTTGAAGAGTAGTTGCAACCTACTAATCTAATAAGCTGTGATTTAGGTAAAATTCCACCTTCTTTCATACAGACTAAATTCCATGCATGGGGATTGTCCAGAGGATGGTTAACTTTAACTTGTAGAGTTGCAGTCATTCTGCTTGGGCTGTATGACTTCTGCAGAAATCTGTATTTCTGTTGCCTGTGAGAGGCAACAGTGATAGAGGCAGGAATAACTAAAGTAAAAATATGGAGTTTTCTCCTTTCATGACATGGAAAAGTTGGAGTCTGGTGTGATGGTACAAGCTGTGTACTCAGCACATTGGTTTTTGTGATGAGACTGACTAAAGTTTTCTGCTGCCTCCTTCATTTCCCTGTTTCCTCGGTACCGTTGGCATACAGTTGTTTGTGGCCTATTCTCTAGCCTAGATTCCTGAAATAATTGACTAAAAATATCTTCTAATTCTTCCCTTATATTTTCTTTGAAAAATTGGAAAGGGAAGGAGAGGACTGATCTGTTAAGAGACAAGTGTCAGTTGTCCTGTTTACGTCAAGACTTGCACCGGCACAGCTGTGGCAGTGGCAAGCTCTGAGACCTGCAGTACGGGACAGAGAGCTGAAGCTGCTTGACATGATGCTGTTGTCATCTGATGAGCACCTGTGTAACGCTGCTTTCAGGCTTTGGAGGTGGCACGGAAGTGTGGCAGGGCAAGGCTTGAGCTCTTAGTTGTTCCAGCCCAGTCTGTCAGCTTTGAGCAGGATGAGAGCTGGAGTAAAAGCACCTCCTGGCTACTCCCTCAAACTCAGATCCGTTTCTTGCCTGGATTCCTGACACGGCTCTGCAGACACGTGTCAGCACAGCTGAGAGGGCAATGTGCTGTCCCACAGGGATGAAAGCAAGCAGCCAGTACACAAAGCTGCCACCAAAGGCTCTGTCAGCAGGGTCACCGCAGGCTGAGCCAAAAGTATGGAGCCTCAGTAGAGTTTCCTGAACAAACCTTGCACAGTGTCTGGGAAAATAATGGTATGTTAGTTGCTCTGAATCTCTGTTGTGGAGATTTGTTTCATTTGTAGGTTTGTGAGATGAATTTCTAGTGTTCTTTTGATCTTTGGTTCTGCTTTGAAAGGAGTTTGTGCTAATAGGTTCATGTTGTATGAAAGAGTTTATTTGGTCAGCTGCTTTGTGCATTTTACCTGCAGTTTGTCTCCTCCAGTCTGTTCAGTGTTTGTTGTTTGTAATTAATTTTATACTGAATATCAATACACTTATTTTAGAAATTAAAATACTTGTAATATTTTTTGTGCATTTTATGTGTGTATGTAGTTGTGCACAATTACTTTCGATTTTTTAACCAAAGCCTCTTTGTACAAATACTATTAAACAAAAAAAAAAAAGGCAAACAGATTAAAAAAACATGAAGAAACATCTGAATCTTCTATTTTTGGCAGTCTCTGAAGTGATGACTGAGGTGACAGCAAGCAGAAATCCAGATGAACTGAGATTTGGATGTACATGGTTTGAAATCACTAAGAAAGTACTCGTGTTAACTTGAGTATTTGCACTTTGTTCATAGTGTCAGGAGAAATAGCTCTTGGATATGATTGTTTCATTTACATTGAGACAAAAACATGTGGATGATTTAAAAGTGCTTTTTTATGGTTCAGGCTTTCAGGCTGTAAACAGAGTAAAGTTCAAACCTGTATACTGTGACAGTCCTTGCTAGTGACACAAGCAAAACATAAGAATTAGTGGACCAAGAGCTGTGGTTTACTGAAATTACCCTCCTATCTTAAAGAATTTGAGGTGAAGTCCAAAGTTTGCTGAGCCAGAGAGAAAACCAGTCAGAGATGAGAGTTCCTAGCAGTTAGCATATAACAATGGGGAAATGAAGATGAATCTTCATTTTAAAATTCCAGAAATACAAAATACATCCAAGTTGCAGATTAGATGTGAGTATGATCTAACTTTGAATCATTGTTTTGGGTGGACTGCCAATGTTGAAAGGCCTTTAGAACAGAACTAGCCCCTGCTGTGTCTTACAGTGGGTGGCTGCCTATGTTTTCACTACAGCTTTGGTGCTTCTCCAGGCACCAAGAGTGCATTTGAGAAAGCACCAGGAGTTCAGTTTGGAATACTGGACTGTCATTTTCATAAAATGACTTCACAAAAGGAAGTGGTGGCAGCTGCACTTCAGTTCTGTCAGTGTGCTAAGGTATGATGGGCTTCTTGGTTGATTGGCTGGATTGTTTTTGCTGGACTTTCTGCTTTTTTTAACTTCTGTCTGGAAGCAAATTAGATGCATAGAATGTCCCCTCACCCCACTGTGTAACAGTAGCTTGTGGTTTACCAATGGTGATGTAACAGCGAAGCATGGTGATACTTGGCTGAGATAGAGTTCAACAAGGCAACCTTTTGGTTGTCCTGAAATTTTAGTTCCTGTATTAAGAGATTTTAATTTGTTAATTTACACTGAGTATTAGCTCAGTTGGTCACAGCATGGTGCTAATAATATCAAGGTTGTGAGTCTGATCCCTGTACAGGCCATTCATTTAGGAGTTGTACTTGATGATCCTTGTGGGTCCCTTCCAGCTTCCAGCAGGAATATTCTGTGAATTGTTTAGTAAATTCCTGAAGTCTGACAGTTATGGTTTCCTTTAGTGGGAGGGGATGGAACTGAAACAGAGAATTTACTCAAACCATTTTTCTAAATCCTTCTGGAAGACAAGGTGTAAGTTTTTCTCTCTTTGGATTCTCACCTTCTGACATGACACAATGTACTGTTGCGATATCACTAAGATTACACTTCCATCTTTTTTACTGCTAGGCAGATCAGCAGCGTTTTCTTGTTATTTTAAGATCTGTGACAATGAATTCAGCCTTCCAGTGTTATATAATTATCACCTCACTAGGTCATCATCTGCTGCTACCAGATTTACTGCTGGAAATCTAAATGTAGTCAAACCTAACACTAAAGAAAATGATACACTTGTAATAGCACTCAGTGCCCATTAAGGCCCAAAGTTTGAGGAGCTACATACAGAACAGATTTTGTTATTTAACATTTAGCTCTTGAGTGTGCAGGCTGGAGGTAGATACTGTTGACTCCTCTGCCTTTGAAGTGGGATTCCTGTTCAAACCAGGAAGTATTCAAAACACTCTAGCTACTCCTTCTATATCCAGGAGGAGTGAAATTGTTATTGCCTTGTTCCTGCTTAAAAATACTATAAACAGCAGCTACATCATAGGCATGCAGTGACATCAGCTAAACCATGTTTAAACTATTGTCTTTACCTCTTTTGCCTAGCCTATCAATAGTAGCTGTTCAGATATTTGGTGAGGATAATGCCATGTTTGAAAACTATGGATAGCGTGGTATTGTAGGTTGCAGAAGCACTTGGAGATCTTCCCATAAAAGCTTACAGTTCTTTATTGAATCTTTTTTAATGCAGCAGCTTAACTGGAATGCTGTGTTGAGCCTTTCAAACAATTGAACTCATCATCCTGTATTTGAGTAACGATTTTATTTTCTTACTCTCCTGACTAGAGATGCATCATTGATGGCTATGAGGAGGCGTATTGAAGGCTTGACACCAGAAGAAATCAGAAATCTTCCCCGAGATGAAATGCACATGCCAACAACTATGGAAGACTTTGAAATAGCTTTGAAGAAAGTTTCTAAATCTGTTTCTGCTGCAGACATTGAGAAATACGAGAAATGGATAGTTGAGTTTGGATCATGTTGAGTTGTCTTCTGTAGAAGAAACCACCTTATGTCTTAAAACAGCTTTAGAAGTAATCGGTGATGTGTCAGTGCACTGCGTGCTCTTTTTAACTTTTGTAATTTAAGAGCAACAGATGTCTAAATAAATTTTTTTCTATAATGCAAGTTCTGCCTAGCTCTCTTTGAACTAGCTCAGAAGTCATCCATTTTTCTCTGATGCTGATGCTATCTGATTTGATTTTCAAGATTTTGAAATTACTTTAATACTATAATTCCTTTCTTTAGTATTTACTCTTGAAAAATTGGTTTTGTGTCAATAAAAGTCCCCAAGCTAGCCCTGCTAAGAGAGTCAGGGATGCTGAGAACTTGAAAATTGGACAAACAAGATGCAGTTACACAGATAGCTTCCCTAGCTGATCTTGGAGAATCCTTCCGTTATACTGTTGTTAAAGAACCCGTGCAAAGGCTTTGATATGGAACAGCAACCCTCATGCTGGAACAGTCAATGAAGTTAGTGGAGTTTGAGGAAGGGTTTCAGATCATTGCGGGTTTGCAGCAGCTGCTAAATAATATTAAAATACATCCAGCCAGTGTAAACTAAATCTGAGCAGCCAGCAGTGATGCTGTCACACGTATAGTTTCCTTGTTATTCTGAGAAATCAAAAGCTTTCTGGCATTAATTCTGAAATAGGTGTTTATTCCTTGACTGTCTGGTACTGCAAGCAGCAAAACATTAGACTGGTGAGTTGGGTCCTGCTTTACACGGTTATTCTGGTAATGCAGCATGTTATGTTTGTGCTCAGTTCATAAACCCTGACTTTACAATTGACATAAAATCTAAATTCTTGTTTTTCATTACTTAACTGCTTTAAATGCAATTTATTATCTGAGAATGGTTCTGCATTAACCATCCAGGTAATAATTTTAGATTTTGCTGAACAGTGGTAATTGTAACTAAACCACCTTTAATTTTTTTCCATCTTCTACTGTTTGGGAAACTTTTCTTCCTGCTAGCTCCTCCCAGTGCAGCCAGCTGTAGCTCTGTTTATGGGTAAACTTCATTTTTTTTCATGAAGCAAATAGGTCTGGACTTGTTCCAGCTGGTAGATACATGTGTATAAAGCTGGCTGTGGAATTCCTGCTTGTAATGGTAACGCAAAGTTGCAGTCTGAGTAGGAGGCAAGTGCATCTCAAAGACACAGCTGTGTAAATGGCATTATTGCGAGCATCTTGTTCCTGTGCCTAAAATTCATCGCTATGTTGTGAGTGACAGCTGGACATGCTAGAAAGGGATTTCCAGCAGTGTCAGCTATGAGAGGCTCAAGTAAAACACCGAGATCTTGTGAGAGCTCCTGAATCCCTGGGTGGACCAGCATGATGAACCCAGAAATAAAATGAAAAAGTTGAGGTGAGTATACAGGTGTGCACATTCATAGACATCCATTTCCAGAATGGAAAACATGTGTCAGAGTTAATAAAGATACACAATATTTTGAAGATGTAGGTACTCTTAGTACTTATTTTCCTGTTTGTATGTAAGGATAAGAGTGTAGCTGTCAGGTTTTGTTGCAGATTTCTTCTATAATTCACTGGAAACAAACTAGAATACTTAATCTGGCTCCCACATAAGAAGGGAGAGTAAGCAAGCTTTGGACCTTGGCAGCAGTCCATTAAGGGGCCACTTAGACTAAGTGTGATATATTTTGAGAACTCCTAAAGTAAACCTCAACTTAAAAGCAGGAATTTAGTACTCAGCCAGCCCTGTTCACTCTGATTGAACAAAATTAACATCTCTGTAATGCATAGTACAGAAAAGAAAAGGTGATAGAGGCTGATTTTGTAGCTCAGAGGTTCATCTTGGTTTGGAACATGCATTGTGGTGACACAGTTCTGAGGGCAGGAAGGGCTGCGGTGAGCTGCTTGTGAGAAGATGATGTTGCTGTTTCTAGGAACCTACCACTATCCCACCAGGGATTTTTTTGGGTAGATGGGTTTTGTTGGGTTTTTTGGGGTTTTTTTTCTCAGTTCCCAGTCCCCCCACATACCTTCCCCTAGAGGGCACATCAGTTCATGTCCTGGAAAAATGAGACCTGCCATAACTGGCATGCAGGACAGTTGCCCCATCGTTATTGTCTTAGTTGGGTGAGCTGTTTTTTTAGTCAATTTGCAGAATAGCTCAGTGTTGTGCCAGCTCAGAGTAGCACTCGTCTGAGAGGCATGAGATCTGTGATTTGGGAAAAACGTGCATGCTAAAGCAAAAACACAAAAGTTTTAACTTTTTAAAGACTTGGTAACTCCAGCACCATAAAGCAGCAGAAATTGTCTGGCAGTTACTGTGTTCAAGACCTGCACTAATTTTAGAATTCCATTAACCTGATGGTGATACTTCTTTCCTGCTGCTTTGTAACTTTATGGAAATCAGACAAGTTTTGAAGCAGTACCAACACTTTCAGGCTTAACCATGCATTTTCTGCAGCTGTTTAGAACAGCTAAATCTCCTTGTGGTTCTTGCAGGTGCTCAGTTTCCAATTTCATGAGGAGGGATGCAAAGAGCACATGCAAACAGCTGCCAAGTTTCCATCTGCAGCATAACTCCTACTGTGTGCTCTAAGGGAGAACTATTGTGTTTCTTGTCCATCCTATTTTTTTTCCCCAGAAGAAGCTAACTTCAGCCTTGTACATCACTTCTTGACCTATGCTAATGGAGGGGGCAGGCAATATCCACATACAGACAAGTTTGTCTATTCCTGTTTGAATACTTGCTCTTGTCTGTGCAGTCACTATTCCTGTGCTAATCATAGCAGTTTCCTGTTCAGCCATGGGTGGCAATCCCTATGCCACCCACAAGGTACTAGAACAAAAAAAAAGGGAAGTTTGAGCAGTGTCCCTGTTACCTTGGGCTGGTGTGGTGTGTACCTCACAGCACTGCTGGGTGGTGAAGTTTGGTTTGGTTTTTTACAAGGCCAAGCTGGTGTTAGAAATGTTCCTTTTATCACTGCAGTGCTGTCAGTTCAGTGAGACAATGAGAGTTGTTGCTGTCATAGACCAGCATCTGAGTAACTTGGATCTCATTAAACACATGATGTTTCCTTAGGGCAGGAGCCGGGGGGTGGCGGGAATCCCAATTTTTCTCCCTCACTCTAACAGCTCCAGTTGAACACAGGTAATTCTGATCATTCAGATGATAACTGTGCTCAGTCTAGTGTCAGGCAGTTACAGTTCTGAGGTTTTTCCCTGTTCATTCTTTTGACAAACAATTTAAGTAAGAACAATGAAAAGCTAAGAAACAGATAGTGCCCTAAGTCTGAAATGTTTGGCAAACTGCTGTTTTACCTAACTACAAATGCACACATGAACACAGTCTAATAAACAATTTAAATGTTTATTTGAAAAATGTTAACAGTACAAACTGGCATGAGCAGACCGGGCCTACTCAGCAATAGCAAGCCAGTATTTCTGTAGAATTTAATGGAATTTTCATTTTTCTTTTGGGACTTCATAGAGTACTGCTGTCACAGATACAAAAAAGCAAACTGGTTACAACTGCTAACAATTTTTATGAGTGGAAGGGACCATAAAAATGTAAAGTGCTTGAAATAGAAATCTGCCGTTCAAATTTTTGTTTTGCATATATAAAATGTCAGATCTTTTGAGTAACACAAATGTTTGGTAGTGGTATCTTCCTTGCAAGACACACTTAACCCTATGAGACCTGGAACTAGGTGGAGCAGCTTTGCTTAGGTTTGCAGGCACAGCTGATGTTTGCAATATTCCCTCATATTTCTTTTAAGAATGCTATCTCTGGACTTAAGGACACCCTGAATTTCATCATCTTGTTAGTCAGGACAGCTGACTTGGTTTATGGGCATGAAGGCAGCCAGCATCCTGTCTGAGGTGTGGAAAAGTGACTTCACAGAAGTTAAAACCAGTGGTAGCCCTCAGGGTGGAAAGCTGCTCTATATTGAAACTTCTGAAAAGGCAGCTGTTCTACTTATAAGCTTCTGAAAAGGCTGCTTGTTTATGGAGAGGCACAAGGAAGTCAGCTTTGGGCCTCGGCCTGAGTGGCCTTTTATCAATTAATCAACTGACTTAGTTTTCTTAGTAGGAAAAAACAAGGTATTAAGATCAGGTGCCAAGTATCAGATCATCTAAAAGTGTGTTTTTAAAAACCAGTAACTCCAAAGTAAATACAGTTAAGTACATACTTTCTCATCTAAATTATTTTTCCTGTCTGAAAGGTCTGAAGGCAGGCTGATGGTAGTCACAGGTACAAAGCTGACTTGATCCAGGAGAAGGATGCCTCTGAAAGGTAAGGTTACCTTGCATTAGAAAACAATACACAAAACGATTCTGTGTTCTAAAAATTGGTCTTATTCTTAAATTCCCAAACTTAGTTTAAATCAATGCATCAACTAAGTATTACCCTCATAATATCTCTTATATGAAGTTGCAATGAAAAATGCTTCCAAAATGTACTGGCTGTGGTTTCTGAGGGCTCTCCTTGCCCAGTTTCTACATCTGAAATGTCAGAAGTGTAGATTCTAGCTGCTCAGTTTCATAGTAGCCTAAAACTGTTTGCTGTCAGGGCCTACAGCTGATTCTCCAGGACTCGGCAACAGCTTCCAGTTTCGTCAGTGTAATAAAGAATGGCATTAAAGATTTGGGATGAGGTCCCAACTCACATCTGCAACTGTCATTCACCAAGTGAGATGTTCTGGTCATTCTTAATGGTTTACAATCCTGAGTTAAACCTTTACCATTCTTTAGAGGACCATTTATACAGGTAGCAAGAAAATAACTGTGGTTTAGAGGTTGTTTTTTAGTGGTTTGTTTTTTTTTTTTTAATGGGAGAGGCGGTTCCATTTCTTTATACACTCTAATAAGGCATGAACAAACCCCATGTTCCTCAACTGGAAGAGAAATTACTGCAAGCTGGTTCCTCTGCTCCATACTGACCTCTGCTATGGACAGGTTATCATCCACTTTGCTGAACAGTTTGTTGGGATTAGAATTTTCTTCCTAGTTCCACTTAGTTCAGTTTCATACGTGGCAGTGTTAAGCTGCTTACTGGCAGCGATAAGCTGCTTACTGCTGGGGAAAGTACAAAGTGTTTCTCCACTCCTTCTGCTCTAACCAGGGGAGCCCTCCCATCTGACAGCACGCTGTGTGAAATGCCAGGGGAAGCACTGCTTCTTTTGTCACTGCAGTTTCCATCCTTCCTGATCTTCCAACCCTCTATTTTCCTGGTTTGTCAGAAGGACCCAGAACACCTGTGCCCCTGAGTGGATACATAAATTAACTGCATGCAGGGTTGTTCAGAGGCACAGCTGATCAGCTGCATTTGAAGACAGCAGCTGTGCTTGGGGTTGATGAAACACACTGCACTGTCAGTCGCTTCCCAAAGAAGTTCCAAGGGACAGCTCTTCCAGACCTGACAGGTTGCTTTAAAGAGCACGTGCTTGCCCATTCCAGCACTAAATCTACACTGATTTATGACCTGCAGTTACTAATTCATCTTTCTGCCCCTTGCTCCGAGACCTTGCTTTCCCAAAAAATGTGTTGCTGGTAACATATGGAAAGCATACAGCCCTTGCAAGCAATCAGCTTTATCTGTGGCCTCTTGCCACCTATGCCAGCACCAGTCACTATGGCTTGGAAGCTGCCTACAGAGCTTGGTCACCCTTCGAGAATTCCCCTGCAGATTTGTGAAACCAAATTTGAGGCCTTTCAGAACTACTGTAAAACTCCAACACAGTATGAGAAGATTGGGAGATGCTGGAATTGTTTAGACCTATTTCTACCCTCCTTTCTTCGAACTACGTTAATAGCATATCACAGTATTGTCCTTAGAAAACTTGATAAAAAATTGGCAGTATGACAGCTCAGCTAAACACATTTCCAATAAAATACTTTCCCATGGCTCTCTGAAATGCCTATGTGTCAGAAATGCACTTGGAATGGAAAGTTACTAGTAGCTTTTGTCATTGAATTCTTGCTACAATATCCTACAGAATGGGCCTGATCTTGGAAGATCCTTTAGTCAACATTTTGCCTTCATCGAAGCAAAAAAATAATTACAAAAATTACTTACTTATTTTCACAGGAAGGCAGAATCAACTTTAAGACTTTGATAATAAGAGCTGCTCCAACAACTCCAACAACAACAACTTCTATGAAACTAAACAAGATAGGTAGAGACTGAAACCAGAATCTACATAACCCTTTTCTCAAGTCTTCCACCCACTGGCACATCACCTACAAAACAGGTAAAAATACAAAGATTACAAAACAAAGCAACTACTGGGTTTTGGGGTTTTTTTAGCTACCAGTAAATCACGTTACATGGTGGTGATTTTACTTAAACATACATAAAAGCATGATGAAATTGACTGGTGGCTCAGATACCTTTATTGTTCAAAGTCTGAAACAGGTGAAGGTTTAGTTCTGTGTTCATTAAAGGCCCCTTTGGAAAATAAAGGACACTTGAACAGAGTAGACAGTGGGTTGTAACTGTGAGTGTTTTGGCTACAGAGGAGGCCATGAAACCCACCCTTGTCTAAGCTGGAACTGAACTTCTCCAGCTGTTACTGTGTTTCCTACAGCAGGTGAGACCAGTGGTCCATTTCTCAGAGGGGTATGCACTTGAGCAGAGTCAGGAGAAAATGGCAGAATTTAAAGCTAAGCAATATTTGAAACTGTCATAAATGCTTAGCTCGATATAACGTAAATGTCACCATTGACTATCATGAAGTATCTGTGTGGTCAGAACATGGCAGGATTTAGAAGCCCAGTGGATTCCTACTGGACTTGTCACTGCTGAATGGTAATTTAGAGCAGACATTTTTTGGTTTATTTGGGGTTTATCTGCAAAAATCCACTGGACTTAGTGGTTGTCTGTCTTTAAATAATTGTATTTATATACTAACAATTATACTAATCATTAAAACAAGCAAACAAACAACAAAAGCACCTTGTAAGAAGATGGTGGTTCTATCCTAAGAGGAGTCTCTGGTAACTTGCCAGGTAATGTCTCTTCATCCACTGTAGTTTCTACTTGCTGGATGAGGTACTGACTGGTAGTCTGCAGTGGATCTTGAATATCTGAAGAAGAAGAGCTAGATTTAGGGGAGAGTTTGCTTTTTGTATGACTCACTCTGAAAGAAAATAAAGACAGGCAATGTTTCTCTACAGAGGGTATAGTTCTCACACATTTACAGCAATAAGGCTTTTTATTTGACTTGAGCAGTGAACTGGATAAGAAGCAGAAAGAGTGTTACAGTGCAGCCTTTAGCTATGCCCTTAGCTGTAAATTTCAGCTGTCATCAGATTAAATGCTGATGGGCTAGATTAAAATATTCTACTCCAATTAAACCCTTGACAGTTTTTGATTAAACAAAACAGAAATAAATTTAAGGCATCAAGTAACTTCTATTGCTTTTAAGTTATTCAAGTTTAATATCAGAAAACTGGTCTGTGGTTTGGAATTGACTCAGACAGATATTTCCTCTACAGTTTTCTCTTTCATTCTCAGGAAAAAGGAGGAGCTGTAGAGAAACTTCCATCGCAGATCTGAGAGAGAAATTTATTGCTGTCAGATGTCTGGACTGCAGACTGCCAAGAATCAAGTACTTCAAAGGAGAACAGATTTGAAAACAAACAAATAAAATACCTAATATGAAAAGTTGAATTTAGGTGTTTAAAAAAAATAAAAACCAAGACATATAAAATAAAACCCGTCCCTGTTAATGAAAAAACTTTCACTATGTAAAACAAGGGATAAATGATGCTCTCTTACCCTGTAAAGCAATACATTGAATATGGATGAAAATACTACTTAACAGCTGAGAGATACCTTTTCCTGAGAGGTTGGGCAGTGTAAATAACACATCGTTGTCCCTTGGCATGGAGTACAGCATGCTCTCTTTCAAAGGGACAGTGTAGTTGGAATGTCTAAGTACTCTCAGGTCCTTTACTAAAATATCTATTTCTGTTACTTCTTCCTGCTGAACCTGCAAAAGATACAACCATGATATTACTGAGTTTAAAGCAAGACTGAAGCAGCCTGGCAGACAACACCAGTACATCCCAGAAAACTCCAGGCCACTAAGATGTACACATAAGGCTGTTACAACATGAATTGGTATTCTTTGTTCTCACATATCACACTTCTGTAGACCATACCACATCAGAAAACATGCTGAACAGACTGAGTCTCTCCCTGCAAAAGCACATGGTAGTAAATCCATGGGCTTTAACCAAGTCTTACATAGTACATCACTATCCTCTTGCAGGAAGGCATTTTAAGGCATGGAAAACTCAGCTATGTAGTGAAAGCACTTGTAAACGAAGAAATTCTTGCTAAGGCAAGACTGAAATTTCTGCTTTTGCAGGAACATTACTTGTTTTCAACAACTGAAAGCCAAGTGTCACAGCATTTGACAGTGTTGTGTTTGAAACCCTTGTCTCCAACCAAGCGACATGCACATGACAGATGGAGCAGGCACTGGATATGTATGGCATTGGCTGGATGCTTGCATTCTAGAAAGTTGCTGCCAGTGGCTCAATATCCAAATGGAGATCAGTGACAAGTGGTGTCCTCAGGGATGGGTATTTGCACTGCTCCTGTTTAACAACTTTGCTGGCACTATTGACAGTGAGACTGAGTACACCCTCAGCAAGTTTGCGGGTGACATCCTATGGTCAACCTGCTGAAGGGAAGAGATACCATCCTGAAGCAGCTGAACAGGCTTGAGAGGTGAATCCCTCACCAAGTTCAGCAAGGCCAAGTGCAAAGTGCTGTACCTGGGTTGGGGCAGTTCCAAGCACAAGTACAGGCTGGGCAGTGAATGGATAAAGAGCAGCCTTAGATAAAAAGACTTGGCAGTGTTGGTGGATGAAAAGCTCAACATGACCTAGGAATGTGCATTCAGGTTCCAGAAAGCAAACTGGGGCTGCAGCAAAAGCAGTGTGGCCAGAAGGCTGAGGGAGGTGAGTCTGCTCCTCTACTGTGCTTATGTGAGACTGCTTTTGACTTAAAGGAGCAATCAAGGAAACAACATTAGCTTTCTAGTTGTTTTTACTAGGTCCCTATGAAAATCTGAAATGCATTGTGATGCCTAGTTTGAGGCCTGAAATACACTGCCATTGTTGTGTAACAACTGAATCAAACCATGATTCTTAGGCTATTATCAGTGGGATAAAGACCTCATTGGAAAAGCTACAGACCTCTCAGTGGGAATTTTCACTAACAGACTAAGATTCTAACATGATACAGATCCCTGTAAAAACTTCTATATGCTGACCATGCAATTAATCAAGGATCGATTGTATTACAATCATTATCATTTAAAAAAATAAAAAGGCAACAGAACCACAAGCAAGCTTCAAAAAAGCCTGGCCACATGTAAGATGCAGATGTGCAGAAACAGAAATATGACACAGAAATAAGCCAGTTGCTGGCTTCAGCAGCTGGATCTTTTCTACAGAATCTCCTTCTATTAGTAAATCAACTACGTCTTAGAAGTGATTTTGAGAACTTAGTTCTGTACATTTCAACCTCAGCTAGAATTGCAATCCCTCACGTTGACTGCTATTTGTGCAAATACAGTTAGAAATCAGAGGGGTGGAGGTGCTTATGCATCTCAAAATCCATGTTCATCATCAAGATTCAAATTATCTTACATGCAAAGTCTTCTAAGATTAAGCTCTCAGGTGTAGTGGGCTTTCACAATAAGCCCACTTGCCATAAGACTTTTCTGCTGCAAGCTGCTACCTGCTTGAAACCTTTAGTTAGCTTGGAATAAACAATGGGGAAAACCTCATGACGCAGAATGAGCCCATGATCCTTTCTTTAATTTTGTACATTATTTTATAAATCAACTCTTGCTTGTGAGTCTGGCTTTGCTTGCACAAGTTCACTTATTCAAAGTGCATGTGATATAGTTACTTATTAAAATATGAAAAGAAGCATTAAAACTTGAAGTTTCCTCATGAGACACCCCCACTATTATACTGCCAATGCTGCTGTTGTCTCCCTCAGTACTATGTTAGTTAACACTAAGTATATACTTTGTGTTCTAACCACCAGCCAGATACATGTAAATCTTGTAATCCCTGGGAACTACTTGTCTCTCCTAAATTAAAAACAAGCAGAATGTTGTAGCAGGGCTTTTTTTTACCTGTTTTCCATCAATTTCTGTCACTTCTTCCTGAATGACAATCAGCTGCAAATCAGAAGTGGATGCCAAAGGCCACTCATGAACCATGATTCGAACACTGACGGTTCCCAGGTGCTGCTGATCCGGTAAGTTATCCAAGCTTCTGTTCTCCACTGTTAATACACAATGTCATCATTTTCAAAGAGAAACCACCTCAACCAGAAAGCAGCACCCAGCCATAGAGAAAACAGGTGCAACTCTGACAGAGATGCCTTTGCACATGCAGTGCCTGAATGGAGAAGTCAGAGTACCACTAGCATCAAGCCAGAGAGGCCAGAACAACAGTACAGAACATCTTAACACTTCCAGTAACAGCTTTTACAACCAGTAGTAATGTGGGCAACAGCTAAAACAGGTGCCATGTTTTTTTTTACCAGTGTATCACCAAATCAGAGCAGGTCTCTAACACAGCAGAGTTGTACAGTCCCCTGACTCAGGAAGCCTGCAAGCAAAGTCACATCTCTGCTTTTGAGGTTTGCATTTGAGCACTCTAAGCAGAGCTCTTTGGCTTGGTTATTGCTGCATTCTTATTTCAGTTGTCCAAAGGAGTTCATAAGAGTAATGCCACAGCCTAGCCAGCCACCTGTGTAAACATCTTCATTTGCACAACATTCCCTTTCTCTGAATACAGAAACAAATATGGTCTTTTCCAGGCACACTGCATCTCCTGCTCAAGATGAGTGCCAGTTCCCTCCTACATATTTTTCTGTCCCCCTGTCTGTTTCCATATGTGACTGGTGATACCTCAACCTCTCTTCCTACCCAAAAGCTTTCAGCTATTTCAACAGCTTAATATTCTACAAGTACACATTGAACTGCCTTTCCACCCTGGCTGTTTCTGTACGCTCTTACTATCCTGCCAATTACCACAGCTCTGCTTCAGGTGAGGGCATGCTAGAACTGAAGTCCTGGAGAAGCACAAGAGTGGAGGTGAGGGATCTCTCCAGTATGCAGATACCAAGGGACATGAACTGAAACCAGACCATTCCTGCTGTTAAGCTACTGGTGCTGTGTGTGTGACACCTGGAGTGCTGAGCCTGTCAGGTAATGTGGGGTAAGGCTCAACTTGGGTCTCAGTCACACACTAACCACTCAGAGTGTCCACTACCATGCTGTGATCCCTGTCCTCATAAAGCTATTTTTATTATTGAAAATATAGAAAAATACTTTCTGGCATAATTTAGTAATATCTTCCATTGCCAAAATAAGTTGGAAGAAAAGTTCCCTACAGGTGTGAGCCAGGGCATTAACCTGGTTGCTGAATGTTTTCTGACTTGGAGCAGCAAACATGCACTAAAGGCCCAAAGCCTCTAACGTGCCAAGCAGCTGAAGCTCCCTGTGTTCCCAGATTTTACCATGTGTCAGGCTGTTCAACCACCACTACATTCACAGGAACAACACATACACTTCCAAAACTGACTTTTGGAGGAAGTTCAAGTGGGGATGTAGGTGCCAAGAATGATATGACAACTATGTTAAGAGTACGTGGTCTCAAATATTCAAAAGCATGATTATTAAGGTCAAGTTTTGTTTTTATATACACTCAGGAGTATTTCCACCTCTATTAATAAGTATCTTGATAGTTCTTTAGCACTTTACAAACACTACCTGAATCTGTTGTCAATAATTTAGTAAGTAAATAGTATAAACATTACATTACAGGTAACAGAGAGAGGTACTGTGCTGGGGACTCAGACCCAAACATGGAGATAAAGAGTGTCAGGTTTCTAGCTCCCAAGTCAAAATCAGTATTTTCCTCACTGTTTCAGATTCATAACTAGTCATTGCAAGCACTAAGACTACAGAAGAATTCTCAGGAGCTCTCAGAATTACTCAGTGAAATCATATCTATTTTTCTGGAGTGAGTTATTTTGCAAGTAAATGACGTTTTGCCATGGTTTTGTACCAGAAAAGGAGAATTTGATTACTGCTTTCCCTCTCCAGGAAGGAAATACTGTCAAATTAATAACTGATCATGCTTGGGAAAGAAGGGTTCAAGCAACAAGGTCACAGCTCAGAGAAGCAATTTGTAAAAGTGTTAGTATTCTGTAAGTCCCTGATGAGGATGACCTCAGATGCCAACCTAGAGACTAACTGCATCTCATGCAGCGGAAGATTGTTCTCAATACAACAGAAGCCTAAATCAAATAAACCTAATGGTCCTTCTTTTATTAATTATACAGTATGTTCTGTGGATCTCAAAAATGATCACACAGTACTTTCTGTTTTTTCACCAAAAAATGTAGCATTGAATCAGTGGAAAAACAGCAGGTTCAAGACAATTTGAAAACATTAACTACTGCAGTCATTAAAGTACAATATTTGTGCTATAATATCCTATCCAGCAGAAACTTGTTTGTCCAACAGATACAGAAGTGATATCTTTAAAATATCATCCTAACAACAATTCATACTTCTGTTATTGAATCTCCTTCTGGACATAGGCCAACTAACCTAGGGACACAGCCATTAGCAGGGTGGGGTTCCATCCTTCTGTTTACATTGTCTAGCTTGTAGTGCAAAACATTCTTTTGAAAAGATGGGCAGAGTCTGGATTTCAGATTAGACCATTTACACACAAGCCTGTTAATGTGACTTGAGATTAAGGCAGTAAGATTTTTTTGATCCATTTTAATACCAAAATTGTCCTACCTTGGGAAATGTTTTGCTTCCACAATGCTCTGGTTTACAAAATACAGAACACATAGCCATTGTAAGCTTTGGTTACTAGACAACAGGGAAGCCAAATACCCCAGGGGAG